TTTAGCGACCAAAGTTGGTCGCTATCTTCTTATCCTTCAGTTAGCGACCAACTTTGGTCGCAAGTTTTAAATTATATATATTTATATTTTATAAGTTTTATAAAATAATAATAAAATTAATTAAAAAAATTGTGTGGGTCCCACTTTTGCGACCAACATTGGTCGTTAAACTCAGTGTATCTTTGACCAAGCTAGTCTGACCAGTCCAGTCAACAGTTTGACTAAATTTGCGTCCAAATAGCGACCAACTATGGTCGNGCGTAAGTATATATATTGTATATATATAAGTTGTATTCGATACGGTATTACCTAATACAAGTATAGTTAGTGCATAGTATAGCGTAAGTATATATATTATATATATAAACTGTATTCGATACGGTATTACCTCATACACTTATACTTAGTGTATAGTATAGCGTAAGTACATATATTATATATATATATATAAGCTATATTCGATACGGTATTACCTCATACACTTATACTTAATGCATAGTATAGCGTAAGTACATATATTGTATATATAGACGCACACGCCCGCTTCGTAGTACTATTCATCCCTTGTATTACAAAATTATTAACGACTTACATTTATATTATTTACATAGTAAACACAAAAGTGATTTTTAAATTTGATCATATAGAGACCAACTTTGGTCGCTAACTTTAAATGAATTTAATTTAGCGACCAAAGTTGGTCACTAAATGTACATGAATTTAACTTAGAGACCAAATTTGGTCACTAAAATTTAATCAGTTTTATTTATATTTTATATAATATTTAAATTAATAATAAAAATTGTTAAATGTTAGAACTGGGTCCCACATTGGCGACCAACTTTGGTCGTTAAATTTTGAATTATATTTATTTATATTTTATAAATTTTTTACATAAATATATATTTATTAAAATATTATAACTGGGTCCCAATTTAGCGACCAAAGTTGGTCGCTATCTTCTTATCCTTCAGTTAGCGACCAACTTTGGTCGCAAGTTTTAAATTATATATATTTATATTTTATAAGTTTTATAAAATAATAATAAAATAATTAAAAAAATTGTGTGGGTCCCACTTTTGCGACCAACATTGGTCGTTAAACTCAGTGTATCTTTGACCAAGCTAGTCTGACCAGTCCAGTCAACAGTTTGACTAAATTTGCGTCCAAATAGCGACCAACTATGGTCGCTAAATTATTTCAAATATTTTTTTTATTATTTTCGGTAGTTTGACGACTAACTTTGGTCGCTTTTCTTAACAGATCAAATTTGGTCGCCAATATTTGGTCGCTTTTTGGCCGAATTCTAGTAGTGAGATGCATGTAATTATAGTCATATCATGAATATCCACTCTTTCATGATATGGTCTTGGTATGTTTATCTTGGCTAACATTTACAAAATCGTACTAATAACTGGCTTTGTATTTAATGTAAGATATTGGTTGTTGAAATTCATTTTGCTCATAAACGGCAGGTTTATTCATGCCATCATTCCTTGTGTGGAAGACAATTATGTGAAATTTCACAATATAAACATTACAGGAGGAAAAAACGTAAATTCTAATTGTTCCATCCTATTTCTCGTACTGATTTATGGGATACACGTGCAACGCACGTGTTTAAAAACTAGTTATATTACAAGCAGTTTAGTTGTAAAAGAGGGCAACAGCCGGCGGAAGCTGCAATTGTAAGAATGATAATGAGAAGTTGACAAGGCAAACTTAGTATAAAGGAATGCATTCAACCGTATTATTTGAGCGAGTATCCACCCATTCTTATTGATCAATTTTACCTTCTTTCACTCCTTAGACATACTACAAATATAATTAACTATTAGGACGATTATTATTGTTGTTGTTTTTGACTAAACCACAATATAGTTCAAGAGCTCCTGCAGTAGTGAGGCTCTCGTGTGCTGAAGCTAGTTTTGTCATTTTTAGCAAAACTTCGATGATAAGCAGTTTTGCTTGCTTCACATATTTCTCAGTTTTTCTCTGTAAGATGCCTTGATAGAGGAAACACATTCTTCTACAAATTGCGAAGCGCGAAATTTAGAGTGTTTTTCGGAAAAGTTAAAATAAGGGATTGGGTATACTAGATGTAACATATATGTTGAAAAGGACAAATTCGACCTAACGTGACGTTATTTTCTAATAGAAGGATGACTTTACAAAAAGGTAAGGGATTGAATGATAACAAATTAAAAGATTGCAGAAGATCACGCTACCAACTCGCATTTATAATAATCAACTAATGAGATCTTATTTCAATCAGTTTAATCTCACTCAAAGTTTTGAAAAGTATTTAATTTCATTCCGTGAGATTGAAGTAGCAAGCAGATCTAACACATCTAAAGTCCAAGATTGGCAAAAGAAATAGTGTCCGAAGTGTACCTAGTAGGAGGGGTGTGAAGTGAAGGAACGGCCAGGAATAAGAGATATCTATAGGAATTAAATCAAATTAAAGTGTGATCAATTTAGGAGATAATTCTTGTTAGATCCTTAATTCCTGTCGAAATTGTATTTCTAGTCAAAATCCTACTAAAGTCAGATTTCTGGTTTCAGACATTTTTAAATATGAACTTGTAATATTTTGAAAAGCGAAAAATAGAGTTTCTAATGGTAATGAGATTGTTGTTGTACATGTTATTTCCTTGTTGTCTAACTTTTAAATCTATCTACACGTTATTTGTGGGCAAGGTTGGGTTGAAGGCATCAAGTAGGCTTGCTTGATTAGGGTATCTCAGTCGGGCGCCGGTCGCGCTCTCCAAGATCCGGGCGTGACAAGCTTTTAACGTTAGTTTGTCCTGGAATAGTATTAAAATGGATGGTACGTCCTAGTAGTATTTCGCCTGACTTTTCCTATATAGCAGTTGTTGAATATCTTTTAAGTGGCAAATTAAAATTATTCCGTTTCATTTGGAAATTTCCAAGAGAAGTGACAGAGACGAAGATTGGAAATCCCTTGGTGGGATTTGAACCGCAACAATTAAGCTGCAAATTCATTCTCTTAGGACTTAGATAGAGTGACTTCTATCAAAAACATATAATCATTATTTTTTGGTATTTATTGTACTAATTTTATTTTTTGGTTGCATGCCTAAATACTGATAAAACTTGGAGGTAAATTAAAGCTACTCGGATAGGAAAGTCTTCAAGCATCTCATATCGCATTCAATTATCTGTTTTCGATTGAAGTGAAAGAAGGCTCCATCGTGCTTTGTGTTTTACATGCTAACAGCTAACTTGCCCATATAAAAATAAAATTTCCTGGACTTTATACAAAAAGTACAAATTAAATATACCACTTGCGTAATTCGTAAATCAGGCAATTATGCGTTAAGTCAGCTATTATTTCTATTCTTTGCTTCGTTAGACGTGAAAAGTGATAGATCCAAGAGGGTTATTAAGTCACTTGATCAAAAAGAAAAAAATATTAGTCAAATCTATGGATTTAATTAAATGAGAAGCTGGAGAATTTACTCCAATATAATGATCATATTGGTAAATAGTGGCGGAATTGTTTATATATTTTGATGCGAAAAAGGTTTTGTAACTTCAGTCTTAAGTGGTGGAGGGTATCATGGCGGTTTAATCTTTCTATGCTTATATTTATATGACTAGAGATTTGCACATTCTGATTATATATGCATGGTTCTTGTACTAGCTGGTACTACAATGGTAAGTTCAGTTAACCCAAAACCGTTCTTGTTTCCTTTGATTACTGAAAATCTTAACCGAAAAGTAAAATTTAGAAGTCCTTATTTTTTGTTTGTCCATATATGTGATCGCGCTAATTATTTCTTTTCTATTGAGTTGTTTCTATTTTTTCACACAAATGATGATTTATAAATTATATGCTAACATTAGAGAATGAATTAAAAAAAAGTTTTTTTTGGTCACGAGGGTCTAAAGCTTTTAGATCATGATGATGTGGTTTAATTTGCAGGTTTACTTGGGAATTTTCTTGGTTTTGTTGTGCATGTTTTCTCCTGTATGGAGTGCTGATGACATTAAAACTTTCAACGTCGTGAATTTTGGGGCAGTCGGAGACGGAAGAAATGATGATCTCCCAGTACGTAATTAAAAACCATTACTATTTCTTAAATTTTCTTGCGTTCGAGCTTATATGTGCATTTACACCAATGTATTACTCTTATTTCCTCGTATATGTGAGAATTTCTAAACATGGATGTATAATTTGAACGTACTGTGGATATTATATATGCAGGCTTTCCTCAAGGCATGGGAAGCTGTCTGTCAATCGGAATCCAGTCGTGTAATTCTTGTTATACCAGAAAGAAAGAAATTCTTACTGACGCCTTCAACATTTGAGGGTCCTTGCAAACCTTCTTTTATCCATATTCAGGTCATTCCCTTCAGCCTTTTTTGCTCAACATTAAGAAACAAACAGCTATTTAACTAGGATTTATATTATACACCACATACAATATGTCAAATTCTTACACAGTTACACTACATCGTCATTTAACTTGGTGTGACACGTTCTCAGTTTTCTATTTCAGGTTACTAGTTCTATTTATTACGAATAGTTACACGTAATTATCTTTTAAGTCATGACCTGATTGTATCAATGTATAAAAGTTAAACTCATTTAACTAAGTTAGATCAAAACAATGCTGAGATATCTGATAACTAAATTTTTAATCTTATTTTTTGTGTGTGTGCGTGCGCGCCTGTTTGCAGGTATCAGGAAATATAATTGCACCTAACTCAAAATCGGGATGGGATGGACGTGCAACCAATGCATGGCTCATTTTTGAGAATATCGACCATCTTACTGTTAATGGCAATGGAGTTTTTGACGGCCAAGGCCATGTATGGTGGTCTAATCCTTGCTTGGATAATAACAACCCATCCCAAGTAAGCATTTCAAAGTCCTCTATATATGGCGAAAACTGAAAAGAAGCCTATAAGTTTCTAGCAAATTTTCTTACATATCGAATTATTTTATGGCCAGGAAACACAATGCAAAGGACCAACTGTGAGTATACACTTAAATCTATGTATATATATTATGTATGCACGTCGTAATGTGATGATCTTCATATATATATATATATATATATATATATATATATAGGCATTGGTTTTCAGACGATGCGACCGGCTGCGAGTTTGGGGTGTAACGCTAATTAGAAGTGCTAGAAGTCATATCATATTGACTGCTTGCAATGAAGTTAGTATCGCCAATATTCGTATTATGTCCCCCGGTGACAGTCCTAACACCGATGGGATTGACGTTTCCGGTAGCACAAACGTACGAATACACAACTCCCTCATTGCAACAGGTACAAATTGATTTCTACTCCCTCCAATGTAAAAGAATCTTCATAATGTCATTTTTTATTACAATGTCAAGTCACTTAAAATATAACTTAAGGTAGTTGCTCGTAATAAGTGAAATTACTAATCTTAAAAATAAAGCAAGCAACTTGCTATACTAGGCAAATCACATTGTCAGTATATATAAGTTATTACGGTTAAACTCCACCCGACCCCCTTTTTTAGCTGTCGAATTACAACTTTTAGTTACGAGTAGGGGTGACAAAATGGTTAAAAGAAAAAAGTTAACCACTCATAGTATCCACTAAAAAATTGGTTGGATAATGAACTTTTTAAAAACGGATCAAATATGGATAAGAACCATATTATCCATTTCGAAAATGGATAACTAATGGGTTTAACTTTTATATTTGTAAAACTTCAAATTAGGGGTTCCTCAAGTTTGGGAGATAAAAAATTCTCCCAAAAGTGATCATATTCATGAAGTCATGGATAATATGATTACTCATATTATACGCCGGTTAATCCTTTTTTATCCGTATTAAATATGAGTCGGGTCGGATAATTTATCCGTTTTTTCATTACCCGTTTTCGACCCATCCATATCCGACACAACCGTTTGCCACCCCTAGTTACGAGTACAAAATTTACTTGCTTCCTATTATAACGGGTCTTCTCCACATAATTTGAGCAATGAATTATGATAGGCGACGACTGTATTGCAATAGGAGGAGGATCGTCCAATGTCAATATTAGCGGCATAACATGCGGACCAGGCCATGGTATTAGGTAATTAATTGTTGGTTTTTCAAATCTAGTTTAAGAATGTTGTAAAAGTGTACATAAAAGTTTTGATTTTTTTTTTATGGCTGTAGTATTGGATCCTTGGGAGAAGGAGGATTTGAAATTGTGGAAGATGTGCGCGTACGAAATTGCACGATTAAAGACACCTTAACAGGAGTAAGAATTAAGACCTGGCAGGTAATAATGTGCACTTCGTTTTTTCATCAGTTGCAAAATACTCTCATTTAAACTTGACAAATACAAACAGTTCATTTTTACAGCCATAACTAGCTAACATGTTAGTTTTCAAATGGAACAGGGAGGCGAAGGGTATGCAAGGAGGATAACATTTGAAGGAATAAAATTGGTTGAAGTCAACAATCCCATCATCATCGACCAGTTTTACTGTCCCAGCCGAGTCAATTGCAAAAATGATGTGAGACCACATATATTTACTACTCTAATACACTAACATTGAAATATGAAAAATAAACCAAAAAATTAAAAATAGAAAAAGAATACTGTTTGCAAATGTTGGCACAAGTTGATGCTTCTTTAGTCAGCATCCACATATTACTAGTAAACTACAAGAGAGTTTACTCGCTATAACAAGTTAAAATACAGTGATCGTGTTAAAATTTCAGTGTATATAAGTTCAATTTCTAGTGAACTGTTTACTAACAGTTGAATTTCATTACTAACTGACTGTTTTGACTAATTTAACACAGACAGCTGCAGTTGCATTGAGCGACATAACATTCAGAGGAATATCAGGGACATCCCTGATGGACGAGGTGATAAATCTGAGCTGCAGCGAAACTGTTGGCTGCAAAAACATACTTCTCGATCGTGTGTATATATCATCTGTTAAGGGTAACCCTGTTCATGCCAAGTGCGTTAATGCTCATGGAAGGCACACTCATACTAGGCCTGTTGTGAACTGTCTGCTGCCATAGTTATATATGATGTTATGCAACATACCTTATTGTTCAACAATAAACTATAGGGTGGGTTGGGAGGAAGGAGAGAATTGTTGTACCATTATTCTCAACTGTTATAGGTTTATAGCTATTTCGCTATTTTTGGGAATTACTAGATTCAAGGCTTATGGATACAGACACAGTTTCTGTAACCAATAACTAGTGAAAAGCCACAAACAGATTTTTCTTTTCTTGATAGGTTCAATAGCCACAATAAAATATTTATGCAAAACATTCTGATCAACTGTTGTAGGTTTATATTTGTATCGCTTTTTAGGGAATCACCAGACTCGAGGCTTATGGATACAAATGAATTAACGAATAACTAATTAGAGCCACAGTTAATTCTTTTTCCGATAAGCTCGGAAGCTACTTTTATCTTTGTATGCAACATTATATCTGAATTAGAGGGACAAAATAAATCCTAGAGCATTTCATTCGGACCTTTAGTATTTTACAGTACAATCACAATATTAGAGTTGGAACTTATGTACAAAACCGCAAATCTTTACCAGCCTAACATAAAAGATACAATTAATTGTCAGAACAAGAAGTCAGATAGAAAATAGAACTTTGATATAGAATCAAATTAATAAGATCTATTGTCCAGCATTCTCTTTCTCCATTGTGTAACTAATCATAACACCAGAACCATATAATAAGATAAGAATAGTGAAGTTTAGATTCAACATATGCAGATAGCAGCAAGTGATTATAAAGTATAAACAATATCAAATTCTGTTCTATACAAGAGAATATTTTACTTGCACGATAGAAAAAGTACCAGTTTCTGTATGTCTGCAATTAAATGATGTTGCGCCATCTCAACTCTTACAAGAACCGAAGCACCTAAAGAGTGTTTGGCACCTCCAGTTATATCTCACATGAATCAGAGCGGCCAAAGAGTGCATAACGGTTATTGGCAACATTATCATATGCAAAGTCTCGAATGAATCTGCTAAAATGAGGGAAGAATTAAGCACCAAAAGATGAAGCAATTACTCCACTAAGTTAAAACTGGGATCAGAACAGTGAAAACTTACAGAGGCACAAATTGTAAGAAAAAAGCTAGCTGAGGGAAAGGCAAGTTAATGTACTCCATAATCTTCAGAACAGCTTCGGATTTCACATAAGACCTGAAATGAATACAGTCTTCACTAGTTACTCATTCCGTGATTACTGCCATATTTAGTATGCGTCTGGACAAAATTTGAGTTAACTGAGAAAAAATTGAAGTCGAAGTTGAAAAAAGTTTGTGTTAGTTTGTTTGTGCACCAAGTATAAAGTTATGATCCTTATCCCACCCTCGCCCTCCCACCCAAAAAAAAAACAAGAATAAACTTGGTTCAGCATTAGAGCCATGTTAGATAGCATACATATCCCTTTTTAATTGGAACATACAGCATACCTATCTTTTTCAACAAGCACAACACTTGAAATATCATCAGGAGCTCTGCCGGATCTCCTCAACAGATTTTTCCCTGCTTCACTTTGTAAAGCTTCATACCTTATTCTCCTGGATATCGACGAAATGTGGAATTAAAGGAGTAGTAACCTTGATATGAATCAAAAAATAAGGAACATCAACTGATGATGATTACATTAAGAAGCCTGACTAGTAAGGGTCGATAGCATTCCCTTCTCTAATTAGATGAGCTCAGATAGTTTCTCTTAGCAGACTCTTTTTAATAAGCTATGCCAGCCTCTTATTCATCAAATAGTTAACAGACAACGACTTTTGACCTGGGCTCACCATTTCAAGTTCCCTTCTATATTCTATCTGAAGTAGAATATTACCAAATATATTTAGAAAAATATGCAGCAGAGGGAGCTCTCAAACACTAACCAAGACAGTAAGAGTATGATAGAACAAACATTAAGGGTAAACATAAGGTAAATTTCTGAAAGCAGAACTAGCACATAGCTCTAGTCACAACACATAACTTTGTAAACCAGCTAGAATATCTGATCAAGAGCCATCAAATTTGCTGAGACAGATATCTTCTTTCATATAAAAATAAACCATACTTAAAGTGCTAGATTGTACAGAGGGAAGGAAGTTTGAATGTAGACATCCTTTCAGCCAAAAACAAGAAAAGGTGAGAACACCAACCTTGTACCATCATTATCACGGACAAATTTTACACCTCCATTGCACAGGTTACACACGCCTGCAAGACATGCAAAACATTTCTTAGTTTCATGCGCTCTGTGTCCAAAACCACCAAACAGAGGATTACTACACTATCCGAGATCGATTATCATAAATTTTAAACTTGCATATCATGATAACATGGAGAAATTCTGAGGCTTGGAATAGTTGCGGTCAAAACTTGAAAATTTGTTTCAAATACATCAACAGAGACAAAATAAAAATGATGACAAATTTGTGATTGAGAATTGACAAATTCATAAAAGGCAGGCAGCAAGTTGAACATTAGGTAGGGATACTTATGTTGTGCAACAAGAAGCATGAAAAATACCTAAAGTCACATTCTTGTTAAATAAACAGCAAGAAGACTCAATCATTTTATGGTAAAAACCTTTTTTTCCCTCTCTGAAAGGTAAATTTATTCAATAAAATAGTACCAAGGAGGTATTAAACAGTAGAAAATTAATTGCTAAATGCCTGATCTTGCTCCGCAGCATTAAAACCCCTTCCTTTCACCACAATTTATAATATATAACATCTATTCCTAATTGAACTGAAAAAAGAAAAGTGATGTAAAAAATCAAGGGTATTGGAAAAATAGGAGTATAAACCATACTACATGTAACCATACCATCGAATAACATAATAGGGCGATTATCACCCTCAAAGAAACTTGCAGTTGCCTTCACCCAATCCACCGTCTCACGGCTGCTACTGCTGGTGGTCGGCGGAGTCGATAAAGTCGCAAACGGAGTAAATTGCCGGCGAAATCTAGCATGAGCCGACGGAGTTACAGTTAAACCTGCGAACCTCGCGGGAGCAGTGAACGCCATGTTCATTGGAACCAATTTCAAAAATAAGTTTGCCAGATAAAAAAAAGGTAGTTAAAATTAGCCCTTGCCTCTGCTCTTAAAATTCTTCTTGGAATGCAATTTACATCAAACACTAGTTCCCCAATTCTTTAAAGGGAGCTCCAATTTACTAATCACTGAGAATGTACATAATATGGCCACGTGGAATTACCAATACCGCTTACTACTTTTTAATAAAACCAATTAAGACGTGGGCCTTTGATATTTTGTTGTGGCGAAGTGCAATTTAGCAAAAAAAATGCAGAAATATGATGTATTTTTTGGGGTGGTCTTTAAATTTTAATTACTGTTTGCCTCATGGACATAACTTCAAAGTTAAAAGTTAAAATTTTTGTCCATAAGCAAATATTTGTTAAAATTGAAGTTATGCTCCTAAGGCAAGCTAAGATAAAAATTTAAGACCATCCACCTTAGCTACTTGCATACTTTAGCTACTTTTAGGTCAATTGACCGCCCTTCGTCGAAAATTTACACGGTATATATAGGTAAAATATTAGATTTTAGTGCTATATAACATATATTTAATATCCTTTATTGGAGATTTTTTATACTTTTTTCAAGTTTGAACACCCTAAATGAAATTTCTGGTTTCGCCACTTATTGCTACTTAAAACATAGTGTTAATAGTTGCTGAACAAAATACCTCTATCATTAGACATGCATTCCATAAATCCTAAGCATCTAAGAAGACGATAATGTACAACCAATTTTTCCTTTCGAAATAATTGCTAAATAAGATATCTCCATAATTGAATATATATTCCATAAACTTTCAACCGTTCGACTTTAAAAGTTTCGAACTCCACTAGCAGCAGGTGGAAATACACACAAATTTCCTGAAGTTTATGTTGTTACATTTCAACTACTTTGAGCCTTTGCGGCATTTTTTAAGCTCCGACTATTTTTCAATTAGTACTTTATAAATACTGGCAATATTCCAACGAGTCCGAAACTTTTTTGATGCTTTTTTGGACAAAAAACACGTTTCTAATGCTAAAAAAAAAGGTTACGTAATTACGTAAAACGCAGTACTATACTGCGTTTTACTTTAACGGAAAGTTGGTCGTTAAAGTAAAACGCTGTATAGTACTGCGTATTATTTTTAAATTTTTTTTTTACTAATTCGCAGTACTACTTAAAATCTGGGCCCAGCTTTATTTATTAAAGCACCACAGAGCCGACGAATCCCATTAAAAAATTTCGGATTCTGCTGGTCCCCCCTCCCCCCCCCNGCGTAGTAAAATGTAGAGCCTTTTAGTGTAATAAAATATAGCCTTTTAATGTAGTAAAATATAGAGCCTTTTAGTGTAGTAAAATATAGAGTCTTTTAGCGTAGTAAAATGTAGAACCTTTTAGCGTAGAGTCTGTGTAGTTTAAGCATGTAGTAACTGCAAACTCTATCCAATTACACTTTATAAAATTAATTATTTAATTTATAACAATAAATTTACAAAAGTAACAAATTAATATATGTTGTAAAATTAACTCCAATATCGACTCTAGAATGCATACATAATTATTCAGTCCAATATTAAACATAATTAATTATTTAATTTATTAAGCTAACAAAATTCTAAAAAAGTTGAAATTGACAAGCGTAATAATTAAGGATAACTTGGTGTTGTTGGGCCTCAAATATCGAGCCTGGAACCTATACATAATTATTCAGTCCAATATTAAACATAATTAATTATTTAATCACGCATAATAATTAAGGATAACTTGGTGCTACCGGGCCTCAAATATCGAGCCTGAAACCCATACATAATTATTCAGTCCAATATTAAACATAATTAATTATTTAATCAATCATAATAATTAAGGATAACTTGGTGCTACCGGGCCTCAAATATCGAGCCTGGAACCCATACATAATTATTCAGTCCAATTCAATAATTTTTAATTTAATTCATTAAACTAGCAAAATTCTAAAAATGTTGAAATTGATAAGCATAATAATTAAGGATAACTTGGTGCTACCTAGCCTCAAATATCGAGTCTGGAACCCATACATAATTATTCAGTCCAATTCAATAATTTTTAATTTAATTCATTAAACTAGCAAAATTCTAAAAATGTTGAAATTGACAAGCATAATAATTAAGGACAACCTGGTGGTATCGGGCCTCAAATATCGAGCCTGGAACCCATACATAATTATTCAGTCCAATAGTAAACATAATTAATTATTTAATTCCTTAAACTAGCAAAATTCTAAAA